GGACTGCCCATCTTACGCCTTCATTGAGGCTTTCGCGATTCTTCCAGCGATAAGACGTCGAATTTTCTGCAGAAATTTCATTGCTTTTGCCTGAAATCATTTTTATTTTCTGCAGAATTCATCAGAGAAAATTACTGGCAGATACAGCCTTTTCATTAGAAACAAAATTCAAAAAAAGCAGCAAGAAATGGTTTCTTTCAGACCTTCACAGACAACGGTTTGCCAGCTTTTTCTCTAGATAGGGCCTTGCGCTCTGTCGATGGTTTACTTGTTTTCCTCTCTGAACTTGTCTCATAGTAATAGTTAGTATATTGCTTCACCTGAAATGTTTATCATAAAGAAAAAGGATTTTGTCTGTGGGCATTAATCAGCCCCGCAGAAGGATGTGCCCTGCATTAGACTTCCATTCAGAATCATGGTGGCGTATTGAATGTTTATGTGGTCCATACAAAGACTTGCAGTGGAGAGCCGATGAATAAGTCAGTGATTTTATCCACCCAGACAAGTTTGGCACCAATCAACCGATACCTGAGGGATGGAAAAATTTAGTCAGGTCAGGTGGATATCGACACGGGATTCGAACATATGACCATATGTGTGAGACAGCGCGCCATTTGCCACTACACCATCTCAGTTAGTAGTACTTCATGTTCACTTACTTATTTATTTACTTTAAGGTGGAGAAAAAACCAGAATGTGATTCTCTTCGTGATGACAAAGACTACTCAGTCGCACTTGGAACGACGGAAACGGCTCAAACAGCTTTCACGGGTCAAGTAAGTTGCAGTACCAGCAGATTTATCAGTCACGGCTTTTTATTCAATTAACTACTCCAAAGGGGTGGAGGATATTCATGGCTGGCCTTCTTTCTGGACCTGATCCCTTGGTTGGACATGAAGCAGCAGCGCCACTTGGCATTACACTTTATCCCCCCGGAGCTGCATTAATGGGTCCTAAATTGATAGCCTCCCTGGTGGGCGTTATTGAATCTACCTCGAAATATCCGATCGAGTGCTGCTGACTAGATAGAATTGCCGTGGCCAGTGAAAAGCCCTCTATTTTTACTTTTTCAGCAAGTTCCTACGTCATTTGCTCAGCCCTTAATGGGAGGAAGGATTGCTCAGTGAAATGGAGTGGAAAATGGCGCACTCTCTGGAGGGTTAGGGGGTGTAGCTATCAGACATGGCGGCCCCCTAAAAGCTGATTCTTCGTCTTTTCTAGGCTGAAGGGTAGTAAAAATGTCCAAAATTCCACTATTTCAGGTTCACCATGAACTGTTACAACGGCGTTTTGAGATGCGGATGTAATCATAAGTTCTTACCCAAGGGCAGAATGTCTACCCCAGACGGGAATTGAACCCTTGGGCTTCCCAGGCACAGTACTTTCTATCCCTTACACTATCAAGTCATATAATAACAATGTATAAATCAGTTTTCCGAAAAAAAAACCTCACCGGCTCCCTGGAAATACTTGACGCACAGACATTCACGATCATCACTGGTAGATAATTTGTTTTTCCAGTGGGTTGGCAAAGAAAGGTAGGACCCACTGAAAAAGAAGGTTGAGAAAAATGGATTAACACGGAAATCATAGAGGCAAGAGTAGAGGATAGCGCATCAAACACTAATTCCTACGCGTACATTCCATAGAAAACGCAAATCCGATAATCCTATCTTCTCAGAGTGGCAAAGGAAAAAAATACGCACTGAAAAACGAGAAGAACAACTTTGATGAGGATACGGTAATAATCTTCTCATATGTCTTATACTTAGGTGCTCATTTGTCTTATAATATCCGTGCAGGACAGAAAAAGACATTTTATCGGAATGCAAATGAATCAGGGGGAAAGAAATGGTAATTGAGCGGTCTAATTACGTTTATGGATCGGTTTTCTCGGATCCTCAGTATGCCCAATTAAGGACTTCATAACTTTCCCTTAGGAATTGTTAAACTGTACTATCCCACCTATCTAAGCCCTTAATCAAAAGCGAGTCAGTCTCGAAAACCACCGTATAGCTGAACTATGCACTCAAATACCGCTACATATCTGATCGAGTGCCGGAGTCAAGGCGCAAACCTCCACTTTTGACTGTTCAGGTATCAAAAGGAATCTCGAATGTTCTGGAAGAAACCTGATGGATATCAAGCCTTTTTTCATCTGAAACAGACGTTGACTCTTGACAAAAACTTATAATAATTTTTAGAATACCCTGGTTGTTAACTGGCCGAAGGTCCTGTAACTGACCTTCTGGGCAGCTCAGCTTTAGGAAGGCTGAGTTCAAACGCTGATTGTTCCGTTGCAATTCATCCCCATCCATCCTTGCCGCACTTTTGCCCCCAGTTAATCAGAAAGGCCCGCAATGAACGAATTTGATACTACTCTAGGTTGCTCTGTTCTGGTATGTGCCGTGCTTTCGACATCGATGTAGCCACGTCGAGGACGTGAGTATGCACACAGGGATCTACGGTAGCCGTACATCAATTATGCCTGCGTGTTTATCCCCCTTCTGAAAGGAGTCTAGTAATTGATGGAGCTCGTCGTGAGACTAGAAAGCTAGATTCGTTCAAACGAGGTCCCCAACAATTGCGTCAAATCCCCATTCACAGAACTTCTTAGTTGGACAGAAAGCAAAACTGCAGACCGTGGGGGTATCAGACAGGAACTAAAGTCATGCTAGACAAGAAGGGTGTTAAAATATACCGAGTAACGTACGAGTAAATTCTACCAGACAGCCTCTCACAAGTCGCTACAGTAACCTCTATCTGATACGGTAATTGAGCTTCATCGATCGACTCTATCATACCCAAGGGGAAGTGTCGACTTCATTTCGAGATTCAAATGGAAACAGGGGCGTATAGTTGAATAAGGAATGATTCCTTAACAAAATGGAAACCAAAGTCGCCTCATAAGGCTTCCAAGCAAATTGCGAGCACAAGTTTATGATTTTAGCTCATATTTAACGAATTTGCTCATGAAACTTATTTAGCTTAAGTAAAGGCACTAAAGTATAAACTGAGATTGTAATTATGCGTTCATTTAATCCAATTTCCGAAGGATAGAAACAATTCGAGGAGGACCAGGTTAATTATGCAAATTATCCGTGCTAAAGGTAAGCTCATTCCCGTGAAAGTCCGTCAGTGTCCGAAATAACTTTGTAGGAAAAAATCCTTGAGAGGTCTAGATAGAGATTAGAGCAATCATATTTATTCTGAGGTTTTCTTTCAGAGGTTCCAGGAAATTCGAAACCTTTCCTTGGTTGGAGCATAAGAAAATCCCGGGTATTACGTCAATAGAACAATACCCTGGGAAATCGTTTGCAGTGACTGAATTTCCACAGTCAAGAATTTGGCTGCTGCAGGATTTTTTGCTTTCAAGCAGTAATACAAGTCATTTCAGCCGTAAAAACTTCCCATTCGATGGGAATAAGGGAATGAAAGAGAGTTGCTCGCATGGTTTTTTTTTGAGATCTTTTCAGAACTAGTTGGCAGGTTTTCAGTGAAGTACCGAATAAATACAAACACAGCCTAACCTCTATAGCATCCCTTCGGCTAGTGTAAAAAGTCCCATTGACTGCCGAAAATTTACCGATGAGTCGCATAAAGCAAGGCCATTGAAAGATTATAAAATTAGGTAACGGCTCCTTACCCCACAGCGATATGGGATAACCAAGACCAGGTAAAGTAATAATCTCGAATGTCCCTCTTGAGTGGGGTGTTACTGCAATGCCCCTCTGTTTAGGATCCCATTAGCCAATTGTAACGAAATCCCATGTCAATCGAATTGAATTATTGGAATCAGTGAAGAAGGTATGGTAATGAAAAGTGGCGTCGCTACTATATGCATGGTCTCGCCCCATCCAAAGAACCACTCATTAAATACCTCTGGCGTCATCCTGGAAGCATCCAGGAGAGTTAGAGCTCGAAGTCACATTTTATCCCTTGCTCAAATAGCTTATTACAGGAGCGTAATGTAATGCCGAAAATGTAGCAGATCTCGAATGCATGGCGCGCACCAGAACCAGACAAACGAATGCATATCACTTCACTGAAGATGAGACCTTCTTCGATAGTTTTACACTGATTGAAGGGAAAACAATACCATAATTCAACCTATTTCCATAGCACTCAATGCCGAAATAAAAACATAATTGAGAATTCCTTTTAAAAAAAAAACCTCAGTTTAATCTCAGTAACGGTATTTCTTCAAGAACATTCCGGCCACAACGACTGATTGAAACTGAAGATAAGGACAGCAAAGAAAATTATGCGATATGTTCGCTGGTCAGCATCACACAGTGAAGCCAAATGAATGAAGTCTGAGCGCTTCTCGCGTGAATCAATATATGGGACTCGCTGTCAGGGTGTTCCTCCCTCCGGGAATGGGCTTTCTACTTTGCCAAATCGAACATCCGCTACCTCATAAACATTTACGAGCAAGCTCAATTCGTGTGCATTCTCAAAAATTTGTATGAGTAAAAACATTAAAACAAGATTTTCACTATTCAAAACTCGGAAGCAACGTTGCAAGGCAAAATCAACAAAAATTTAACAACATAACAAATCTAGCATGTACCAACCGTGGTAAACACAGCGATCATTTCAAAAATCAAAAAAAAAATGACGACTAGCTCCTACTGACAAAAAAAAACATAATCCTAAGAGTCTAAAAAACGTAGTAATATTAAGCATTGAACTACCGCTCAACGGGGAAGTAGATGAAGGAGGGTTCATGGCCATGATTACTCCGCAGTTTCTCCCAGCTCACTGCGAACGAAATCCACAATTTCTGCCTGATGGCCCGTGACGTACTCGTAGACAGTTTGGGATGGATTCAACATGAACGCTTGTCGCAAAAGGGCTGTTTCGTCCTCGTCTATGTTCGTAGTCTGAAAGTACTATAAATATATTTGCATACCTTGCAAAAACAATTACATATTGTTAGCAGCCAGGCAGCAGCGCAGTTCCCTGAGGCACGCTGACCACGACTCGTTTATGGAAAAGTCTTCAAGCGAATACCACTAAATTTGAGAAAATTAGAAGGAAAAAAAGAAAAATGACTCAGTTCCGAGAGCATTTCCTCTGCCTAAGCTGAGTTATAGTGGGCAAATTAGGAGTGGGCTCATAGTACCTAAACTGGGAATAGGCTAAACTACCCAGTGTGTTACTTCCTCTACACCAAAAGTGCAAAGGCTATTACCTGAATATATGAAAGTTCATTTCGCATGAATTTACCCATCCTTTGAGGTTATAGTACTCCAGCGGAGCAAGTACTTTTACTTTACCTTTTTCATTCACCAAAAAAAAGCTCTCGTATTTTAGGTTTTTTTGAGAATTTAGTTTGCGCGTTGTATGGGTGCGCGGAGGAAATTCAATAGTGAGGTCCGCATTTTCCCCAAAGTTATAGGTGAATAAAAATACATCATGAGGAATATCTATAGAGAGGCATTTTCAACCTTGTAAGTTATCACTCTCAGCAATCGATCCTTCACCTGAGAGCACCCATTTTGAGAAACAACCCTGGTTACACATTGCATACTATGTCAGATGTGAATCAACTTAATTACTCCAATTTTATGGATTTTAGATGTCAGTAGCGAGTCCGTTGAGGTTGGAATCTATCGTTTTCAAAAACGTTCTCTTCTTTCTCCTTGATATATTCAACAAGACATGAGGAAGAAGAAACAGACCCGACCCGAGCAAATCTGCGTTTGCTGTGTGCGGCTTGGTTACTCAAAACCGATTCAACTGCTCGTTTTCCTTTCGCTACTATTGAATGCCGGTAATTACATCACTGTGATCTCATAAAAGTTTTCACGAGAACATAGTAGACTAGAGCTTGTTGTAAGCTTCTTTAGCATTACGGAGAACATCCTAATAGAAACCCCGCTCACATGGGCACACAATGATTTGACCACTTACATAATTCACATTTTTCGATAGCCTATAGGGAAATATACCTGCGTCTGCTCAAAATCATTCAGTTCGTCCCGATTCTCTTCCACTTCCACTTTCCTCTCTTCAGGTTTGCGCTCCTCCGGTGGCTCACCCAGGGTTTCTGACCGCATTCCTATGACATGCTGAAAAGCCATATGGGTGCCTTGAAATACTAAAGTATGAAAAAGTAGATGCAGGTCAACTAAATGTGAAAACAGGACTACATTGGACTCAACCCTTCACTGCAAGAAGATCTTTTCTACTAGTCCATTCCAAAACAACCAACCTGACAAAGTTGTGCAGCTAATTTCTCAGTGGGAAACAGTCCTTCGACGTTGGGCCGCTTGAGGGCTATGACAGAAGCGAATTTGCCCATGCTTACAGAGGAGTTACCCTCTAAAACGACCGAGTGGAGAAAAATTATGAACACCACGAGTCTTGACGCCTATAGACCCTGTGAGAAAGTACTAAGAAAGTACCTTTCGGATGGCTAGCGGAATACAGACAGGACTTCGGCGGTGCGTAAAGGGCTCTCATACTTCGTATGGTTATGTTTTCGCCGAGTTTACCAACAGTCATTGCAATTAATTCGCTTAGAGGTTTTCCATTTACGTCAGCAAGTGATTGGAAGTCTACAAAAGTATAAACTACTCGAGTGGTAGGTGGACATGAATTAATCAAAATCAACTGACGCACCGAGACTGACAGAAAGAATTTTGTTTGCTGCCGTTTGCGGAATATTCTTTTGAGCATGATTTAGCACCGATTCTACCAGTTGTTCCAGCTGTAAGAAAGACATGAAGTAAGGAAATAGTGAAAAAAGATTCTGGCAAACCTTCAATGAGTAAAAGCAAAAGCAGAAGAGGTAGAATAGAAATAGCGGTATCAGCAACCAACCAGATTTTTGAAGCTTTCTCCTCGCGCTACAAAATCCGTTTCACAGCTTAATTCGACAATAGCAGCTACTGAACCTGTTGATTTCACGGCAACAAGTCCTTGAGTCGTAGCACGGCCTCCAAGTCTGAGAGAAGGAGAAGAATAAGGGGTGGCTCCAAATTGTTCCTTTCCAGCACCACCCACACTCAGGAATTAAAGAAAAGAAAAGAAGAATTCCAAAGAATAAGAGCCCAGAAAAGAAGAAAATGCAAAGTTCAACTCACTTAGCCGCTTTGGCCCAACCTTCGCTTTTGGCTTGTTCTCTCAGCCATTTCTCCGCCTCAGAAATATTGTCCGCTCCAAATTTCACTAGGGCTTTCCTACAGTTCACATAACTGTAACCCGTTCGCTTTCTCAACTTCATCAGAGCCTAAATATATATCCTTGTTCTTCAGGGGAAAAGTACTCTACTATTTCTAGAACCTTCTACTGTTTTAGATTCGCATTCATTCATTCCATACCATCTCATAAATGTTTTTAATCCATATATGCGCATGAAGGGTTAGGTAAAACCTTAGTGAAGATTGAATTTCTTTCTATCTGTTTCGAACTTCACACCTTGTCGCACGATCACAAGCTGCGACTTTTATGCATTTCTACATAAGCAAGAGAATTCCCGGATTTTTATTTACTGCTAGGTTCAGTTAACGTAATACTAGCACCTAGCCAATTTTGAGGAATTATGGCAACCTACGGAACCACAAAAAACCATCATTTTACATTTTCAAAGGCTTATCTCAAAAAGCTACCTCTTTGCTGACTGAAACACTTGGCTCGGGTGCTGCTGAACTGAGGCTCCGTCTCAGTAACGACATTGGGACTGGTCCTCGAAAAAGCTGACGCAACATCATGGAGGCTTTAACAACCCTGATCTTTACGAGATTGATGTTTACTAATGAGAATCACAAAAAAATAAAGAAGCGTCCGAAAGGAAAGCGATTATAAAAGATAAGAAAATGACAAACAAAAAAGAAATCTCCCAGAAACGGTCGTAGCGCTGTGAAAGTGAGAGGCAAAACATTTCGATTGAATCTCTTTTACTACTGGCAAGCCTATCAATATCCACAACAAAGAGAAGGACAACGAATTTCGCACCTGTACACAAATTGCAAAAGACGATTCTAAAATCAGAACGACTAAGCCTAAACAAAAAACCACCAAAGTGGAAAAAGGAATGGAGCAAATCCAAGTGCGATTAGCGTTCGAGCACACTTTCTCTTTGGAGCGCGTCAACATTGAAGACTTGACGTTGGGGTCTACGGACTGCTTGAACTCGGGTCCTTTAAATTTGGCCGCGTGCGTTCATCCTGCATCCGTTCCGAATGAAATCAAAGTAGTGAGATGTTTGAGACTCGAAAAGGCCTGGAGACTGCTTAAAGGCACTGTTAACAAAAAAGTAAGGGTGCCCTTTTTTTGACGATAATAGGTAGAACTAGCCTTGAGGACTGGACAGTAGTACTTGATAATGGTAGACGCTGTGATGTNTTTGGCCGCGTGCGTTCATCCTGCATCCGTTCCGAATGAAATCAAAGTAGTGAGATGTTTGAGACTCGAAAAGGCCTGGAGACTGCTTAAAACTGTGAGGTATGGTGAAGGTTAGGGTGTCTGTAGCGGCAGTACCGTCTCACAAAACAGGAAGAGCTGCTGAGGCCATAAATGACTGCTATGATCGCTAACTTTCAAACTTTTTGGTTCCAGTATAGTGGGCGTTCGCTTTGGTCTTTCAAGAACGGAGAATCTCTTTAGGGCGCAAAGGTTGGAAGGGGCTAGATCTGGACATCTGCGAGGACTGATTGGGCATAGATGTTCAAAAATCATCCTGAAACAAGGTTGAAGAAGGGATGGCTATCGTTCGCAGGCTTTGTAATCAGCACGCACGGCTTTCTATGAAACTACTTTGGGAAGAGGATGCAACTTCGCACCTTCCCTTCTGCACCCCAGTTAGCGGCTATACACTGCGACGGCGATCCGCAGATACCCGATATAGAACGGGAACAACGTCAGAGCTTACCATGAGCTTGCAAGGCATTGTCTGGTCCTTCAGGGAGGCCCGCTAGGAGCTATAGTAGCGGCATTGAGATGGCGATCTGTTCCAAAGTGGTGCCAAGCCCAAATCGGCGGAATTTTCATGATTCTGAGAGTACTTTTCATGACTCTCTGTGATGGTTGCTCTGCTATGCTCATGTTGCATCGTAGTCAAGTGTAGTAAGTAAGTTATATCTTTATACATGAGAGAATAGTGAATCTTGGCACAAGCTGAGAAGTTCGTCGTTATCCGAAAAAGCGTCCATGACCGTGACCATGTCCATGACCGAATCCATGTCCATGTCCATGTCCAAAGCCATGCCCGTGACCATGGCCAAATCCATGTCCATGACCGTGGCCGAATCCAGGACCACGTCCGGGTCCGCGTCCGGGACCGCGTCCGAATCCACCACGTCCTAGAATGCAGTTTTAATAGTATCTAAATCACAGTATCAACCTTCATCATATTCGTAAAAGATTTCAGTCAAAGGTTCGCTTTTGTGGGCTGAGCATAATCTTGAGAAATGAAGCCGAATGTGTACAGCATACTCACCACGTCCTCCTCCTGGACGGCCTCCTGGACGACCAAAGCCACCTCGTTTCATCCTGAATATTGGTATGACAGCGAATATCAATGAAATATCCCACCAACTGCACTGCCATCCTCCTTCAAACTTTTCCCCGAGTTTTCTAACAGAGCAAAGTCATCCTATTAGACCGATTCCAGACTATTCTACGGGAGAAACTTCCTATCGTAAACCTTGTTTTCTTCCTTATTCGTCCCAACTCAAAAGGAGGTAGTCAAAGCCGATTTGTTTCAGATATTTTGGGCTAAGAACTTTACCTGGGTTTGAGGAAACCCTAGAAAGAAGAAAGAAGAAAGGTAAAAAACTTACTTTCCACGCCCTCCTGGTCCCCTGCCTTCAACACTGATTGTGCCTAAAATATGTACAGGTTTGAGACGTTCAGCGAGAATGAGGTCTCATTTAAATATGAATAAAAACGTATAAAAAATGACTGACTGATTAATAAGACGACTAGGAGGAGCAGAATAATACTTCGATAGATCATAGTTGTACGAAACTGTTAACAATTGCCCGATGGATGCCTATTTATGTGTCTCAAGAAAAAGTGTAACAATGCGAAATGCCCTTCAACTGATTTCTGATCGTCATTGTCCTTCTCCATCGCGTAGACATACCCTGGTGACCAAAGGTCACCTAAACCCCCGTGGAAAATCGCACAAGACAATTTCCAGCAATCCGTCTATGGAGATCCCCTTGGTGTGGGGCATCCCACAGAGCCCTTTTGACAGAAGAATCCACTTTAATTTTATATTTATCTATATGCTACACTCTTGCAATATTTTTGGGTATTTCTGAAATGTTGAGGTGCCATACAGCTAATGCTCCAATCAAGTCCTGTGCTTGGAGCTACCAAATCGTCCAGGGACATTTGCTTAGGTTCAAATTCAAATAGGGGAGAAAAGTGCTGGTTTGTAGATCAGTTTTAGTTTAGTTGTTAAAAGCCAAACATTCACATGAAGGTTGCTACAATTCTGAGAGGAAGGCGAGTACATGGCGCAGGGAGTGTCGCGGACCACTCATTCGCCGCTATTACAGCTCTAGCGTTCTTCATACAACTCAATCGATATGCGATCATTATTTTATGCATAATTCTACTATTAGTACTTTTGTTCTTGTGTTTCTTACCTACTGCTGCATCCTGCTACATTCCTTCTCGCGCGACGCCCCTCTCACCGCGACGCGACCATTTCGTTCCTAACGCACCACACCCCATGGCACATCTTCGGAAGAGTCTTCAAACGTTCACGGGAAGTGAATTTGCATTGTCATCTACGCTCTGTTCAAAACGATTATTGCTCTGGCACATTTTTGTAGAGGTCCACGGGCTTTTGATTTGTAGAGCGCATTGAATATTTAAATAAATAAATAAAATGTGGACAATGATGTTTGTGGTTAGTTCTTACGGTTGGTCTTTGTCTCCCAGCTTTGAGGGTTGGTTCTTGGAGTATTCGTCGTAAGGCTGCTCTCTGGTTACTACCAGAGTCACGTGTCATTATGGAGTACGTTCTGTTGCCGTCGCTTGTATTCAGTCTTCGTCATCAGACTTCTCCGAAATCACACGACTTGTTTACTTAAATGATATCAACTGGGCGTATATTGTTAGTGACTTACCATCCTCGTGGGGTATCATTTCGTTCTTTTTAAGATCCATCGGTTTTTCGGCGAATTAGCGTATCAACAGTTTGACGAAGCACTTCTCTCTCACGGGGTCATCCCAATTAAAGCTAGTTTTCGGTGAGCGCCGTAAAGGTATACATATCACGCATACAAACAGGGTGGAGGTATGTTACCGTCGGAGGATTCCAGGGACCTGTCGCAAATCATGACACCCCACTTATCAGAGAAGCTCGGCCTGGGAAAACTTCTCTGACGTAGGTGTGTGTCATAAGGTCTGGTTTAGAGAAGTGCATACAAAAATGGATCACTTTACAAATACCTCGGAAGCCTCCGGTCTACCTCCTATCTGAACACATTGTGTGAGACCGTATTGGACCTAAAGACAGTCTGTGCAACAACAGCTTCTGGCTATGAAGCACTGCAAAGCTTAGCACACCAGTTTTCAGCTGACAGACGAGATTTACAAAAACAGCTTTGTTTGGCCTACATCGTGGCTGTCGCCTTTCTGGAAATTCAATGGACAAAAGCCACTCAAGAAACTGTCTGTCCAAGTCCACATGTCAAGCTACACTGGAGCAGTTCAAGGGGAATCCAAGGTACGACGTCAGGATCTCCAATTGTGACACCTCACTACAGGACTCCCAGCCTGGTCCGCCTTCGAACTAATCCGTTTCCTTGACTTACTGGGTGATGCTTTAGAAAGAACACGGTTTTCTAGATCTCCCGGAGGGGATGAAATGAGGGTATGCCAGTTCCGGAAATAATTGACGTTTCTCGGGTACAATTATTTCTCGAAACTTTCTCTACCAACAGTACCTCAAGCACTTCATCCAGTAAACTTCTGCTCAGTTCCTATTGGGTGTACAGTCACCAAGGTTACAATATCTGGGATAGGCAGAGGGGACGACGAACCGCAGTGATCGATGATTCAGACATCCAGTGAGTTTCGCCTGTAGATGAAACCGAGACGAAAGAACGCTTTGCATGGAGAGCGTGTTGGACGTGTAATAGCGTAGATGGAGCATTTGATCCAGTTCCATGTCGACGACCACTTCTCGCTCCATGATAGCGACAGATCGCCGCCCTACCACAGCCTTAGCTGTCGCTCTCACGATTCTAATCACAGTTGCAGTATGTTAATTCATTATTTTCTCTTCTTACATATGTTTTCCAATTATGAAAGGTCAGGTTAAATAAAAAGTAAAGTGTTGAAGAAGTAAGAAGGAAACCCTTCAGATTAACCCACCGTACGAATTTGTTTGGTTCCAAAGGGGTCCGATTTGCGAATCTTATTTACAGAAATTAGGTTGAGGACGTTGGTCGCTCTGGATGAGCCTCTCATACGGAGTTCCTCCAAAATTCAGAACTATTTGAGGATGCACTTGGCTAATATAGTGACCCTTGAGAAGTCTCACTTCAATCACTATCACATCCGGAATAGTTTGCTCAGCCACTTATCGAATAGTTTATTTACTCTGGTAAAAATTCAATTTAATGAAGTCCCTTTCTTGTCCTTAATCTTCTTTTTTAATCATTTCTGATCTTCACTTATCATTTTCCTTGTAGAGCCTAGCACACGTTACGCTGTTACCTATAAGTTGTCGTCAACTAACTCAACACAAGGCTAAGAGTAAGTGAAAGCAAAAAGGGAGAAAGCAGCTATCGGGAGATCACTGTTGGGGGACGAATCACTTCGAAGCCTTGCGCACCCGATTCCGGAGGTCAGATCAGATAAGCAGGCCCGAGTACGCGCAGTCTGAGAAACAACCCTCGATCAAATCCTGCTCAGGTCACCTAATCTCGGTCGTCTGAAGACATCTAACTGGTACAGACCCATTTGCGAAGGTGAAAACTCTGGCCCGCAAGCCCGCTTGGTCTAAAAGTAGAAAGGTCTAAAGTTTGTGTCGAACACTCCTTCAGTACCTACATTTCCTTTTGCGGGGGAAGAAGGAAACAAGAAGGATATCAAATGCGTGGCTCAGTCTACGAGGTACTAGTACTATGCAGTTCAACCATTTATTGCTTGCCGTATTTGGGCATTTCTAAAGAACTCTACGGCAGCTTTCGCTTGTTTCTTTGCTCTGTTCCAACGCCTCATTAGAAAAGCTGGATGGCAGCTGCACTTCTCCTTATCTCCCAGCCCATCCTTACGCGTTGAACTAGGTTTGTGTACAGCCCCAGAGCTATGAAAGCATATTCTCTCGAAGGCCAATTTCTAATGGACTGAGCGATTAATCTAGTCGACTCCCATGCCGGTTCTTCCAGTTGCCTTTTATGTTTCTTATAGAGCCCGGTTATTAAGTGGCTTCACAAAAACAGCAGCAACAGTCCTGGATTGAACCCCGCACTCAATATCTATCCAGAAAACCCAGCAGAGGCCCTTGAACACATATTTGGTCATTCCAGTGACTTTATGATAACTCTTTTCAGCTTAGGGACAAGTCTGGTATGAACCAATCGACCCGAAGGGATTGAAAACTTGCATGGCCCAAATTAAATTTGACCCAGGAGTTGGTCCGTTGGCTATACATATGTACGGTAGCGGTCCCATATAGAAGCATCCCAAGTCTGCCACGTCCACTCGCTTTTCCAGCAAGTTCTGATGGATCCTCCGAATGGGCTCATGCTCATGTACATACTTTCAAACGTGCCGTAACTTTAGATGCTGATCAGACTTTCGGAAGCGCTACAGTTTTTTCCTTACACTCGATTCCTTCCTAGCTAGAATATCCTGTTCTCCACATGACAACCAATCTTACGACATTAATCAAGTGTAAAGTCAATTTCTAGTTTCTTAGCCGCCATCGTTGCTTTTCTCAAACATCTACCCCTCTAGTGTTTCTTTCTAGGTGACTGCCTTTCCTTCATTCAAGCCAAGCAAAGAGTGGGCCCATGTGGATCTATTAGAATACATTTAGTGTGAGAATCGAAGCTCCAGAGCATTTTTGTACAGCGCCTTTTTCTTTGAAAGATTTTGAGTACCTCCTTGCTGCGGCGGACTAAATTCAGAGCATAAGAAAGCCCCTGAACGCTAACCAGTTTTTCAGTGTCATCAACTTTCGCTTGGAGAATAGAGCAGGGCTACTGGAGAACACGTCCAAGACGTTGTTGCGATCTTTCGTAATTCGTTCGGCATGAATCAGCCAAATCCAAGAGAAAACCCGATCTGGTAATCTGTGCGTCTGGCAGATGGGCAACCGACGAAGCTACTTCTGACCGCTTAGTAATAGAATGGGGAGGTTGCCAGCGCCTTCGTCATTCGCTAGGCCTCTTTGTTTTCTAGAATCGAAAGAACTGCGAAGACGAAGCTACGGAAGACTANATAACAGCAGAATGAAGCCAGGCTAGGGTTCCGGAAACTCCCGTGATCATTAGTCCACCATATGATTGGGGTGAGCTTACATGTGAACTGGTCCGTGAACTTGCTAACACGGAGCTCATCACCTTTCCGAGCGTGTAGGCTGCTTTTAAAATGCTTTCGCATTCCCTAGTGGCACCTAATTTACAGGAGGGGAATTATCCATGGCAAGGAGATTCAGTTGGCTATCTCGAAAGCCTCCCGGAAAACAACGGATCCATCATCTCAAAGGCACAGTCCACGATAATTTTGATGTACCCTTTTTGAGTTGAGAAGCGGAAGTGTAGGGTGGAAATGACTTTCATCGGCAGTGAAGAAAGTGGAAATTCGACGACTTCGAGGAAAATAATTTTCCTCAAAGGCAGGGATAATAGAGGTTGGACGAGATATCAGAGCGAGAATAACAGTATCCGGACGAGATTTCAGTTGTTGCATTTGCTCTAAGAACTGACTATATCAAGCCAGGACTGTACCGAACTACCTTTCCCTGTCACTACGGCTCCTGACAAGTTGCATAATTTCCCTACATTGGCTTCCTTGCGATTGGTGCAGCCTCTATAATGCCGGTGAAACTCGTCCGAGGATACATACGGTACTATCTTTGAGCCTTTATAACCCCCTATCTGGGCCGTTTTCAGGTATGACGGCGCCACATACGGCATACGGGGGTCCTACAAATTCATTACAACGGAANTACGGCTCCTGACAAGTTGCATAACTTCCCTACATTGGCTTCCTTGCGATTGCTGCGGCCTCTATAATGCCGGTGAAACTCGTCCGAGGATACATACGGTACTATCTTTGAGCCTTTATAACCCCCTATCTGAGCCGTTTTCAGGTATGACGGGGCCACATACGGCATACGGGGGTCCTACGAATTCATTATAACGGAATATCTCAAAAGTCTTTTTATCGTGAGCTGTGCCTTTAGGTTTTCGACCTCGGTGCATTCCGTACCTTATCGAAGGATTGTAGAAAAAGCAACTCATTGCTTATCATTGAGTTAGATCACCCATTACAGAAGTAATTACAATTATAGGTTGAAATATAAGAGCTGTGGGAAGCAAATAGCGGCGCTAATTTAGTTGTAAGTTACAGAAATGTGAAAATCGAGTTCCAACACTCAACGAGATCTCACGCTTCAATGATCCAGTACTATCGGAAGTCTTCTCATCATCTGGTATCAAGGGTAGAAAACTTCGTACTGAATCCGAGGACCATCCAGAGCTTTCACCAATGGGACCCGATGGTGAGATGCCGTCACGGATGTCTCGGGTGTACGGTGAGTAGTTTTCGGAGATGACACCAGCTATTTGTCTTTTGAACGTTCAGAATTAATATATCTTCATTTATAGTAGGTGAAGTACCAAACAATCACAATCAACCTCTCGGACCGATTCCTCAGATGCCAAACCCTATGGTGCAAGCAGTTGATACGGGAGTAAATGTGCTAGCCAACGGAGCAAACGCTCTCTATCGGTAGGTCTATAAGAAGTTACGGAGCAGTAAGAATCTTCCGGATACACTTTATTTCAGCGGAGCAGCTTCTGTAGGACAGGCATTTGGCTTCAATGCACAAGCCTATGAGGGACCTCTATTCAGCGCTGCATCGCAACTACTCGGAAAGAAGTAAATAGATTTTATGGTCGGAACTCTGGCTAATTATTTCATGTTTTTGAGCATTTCTGTACATATCGTTCCCATTGTTTACATAAGTATGTTGAAATAAAGTGCTTTATTGTCTTAACCCTCTGATCTCTTCTCCATATTCAGCTTAGAGACTTATCGCCAATTTTAATCCCAAATCAGGAAAGACACACCAACATACTAGATGAAACAATGACCTGAGAAGTGGAACGGATGGACGAGGTCAGAGAACTCTTTAAAATCGTTATCATCGGGGAGAATCTGAAAAAAAAAACAAGGAAGGAAGGCCGCTCGATTAAAGGCTTCTAAGTAAGTTAAAGATTTTTGCAATTTCCAGGAGAAGACACTCGAAAGAAATGTTGAGTGTCACTCTCAGAAAATCCAGAAGTGCAGCAGAGCGGAATGCCGAACATGCGAATCAAAAGGAATATCGAAAATTCGTATCCTATCGAGACCCGTCGGCTCTCCGAGTGGCCTCTTTGCTTGGCAGGTCCTCTCCATGAAGAGAACCTTCAAGTTTTCATCCCCATGAACAAAAAAATAGAGCTGTCAGTCGTTGGGGAGCAGAATTTGACCCGAGATGAGGAACTTGTGTCATTTGAACGGTAGCTGTATGTACCCTTTGCTACTGCTTCTCCTTCTGCGACCCCTTTTCCGTCCTACTCAAAAAAATCCTTCTCTCACCTACGATGAAACAAGAGTTGCTCTGATGACTTCCTCCTATCTGCATGAATTTCATTTCCTTTTTTCTTTATTTATTTCCCCAATTGAGCGCTTTAGGTTTTTCGGAGGAGAAGCCGGGGAGTCACTTTTACAGGCGGAAGATGGAAAGTAGTTTCCCTCAGCTTCTACTTTTTAGTCTATTTTTATTCCACTCCGAACGTCTAGAAGTATTGAATGACGTGTTTATTTATTGTTTTCTCGATGTAGGTGAAGGAACAGGTGACTAATTTGTAATTCGTAGGCGTCGAGAGAGTCTGGGTTGGGAAATATCAAAGAGGAATGCATGAGGTCATTGCTCTTCTCACGGAACAAATGTCTGGATATCTTACAAACAATTACACTGAAGTGTCTGACTCATGGACGAGGTCATGCGTTTCTCGTACATTACACATATCCTGCTTCCCGACATCTCACGACCCCCCTGCCGGTCGCGTTGCAGGAGCGCGCTCTTATCTCAGCGGTAATCTTCGTTCTTCAAGTGCCATCAGACACCTATCATCAATCCTTCACATCTCAAGAAATCCATGACATCGATGGATCTACGGCAGATCCCAGAGAAGAAGAAAGACGTAATAAAGAACACAATGCTGGAATGAGCCATGCCATCGACGTCGCCAGATTTCGTGGGAGTAGAGGCAACTCGAAAATGTCATCACGGCACCTAAATCGGCTCAATTATGCATAGAGTGACTGACGTTCTTCCGTCCTTCTCTACAAGTCATTGGGAAAAATAGATTCAGAACGAGTGTATACAAATAAGCTCAATAAAAAAAGGCTGAGAAGAGGTTATAAGAAAGAACGAGTAAATCCGTATCCTTAATGGGGTGAACCACGCATCCGAACTCCATCCAGGATCGCGCGAAGTTAAATTAGGCTTACCACTCGGCTTGAGACTACCAGTCTCTGTCAAAGTTTCGATCGTCCTAAACAAGTTTGGCGAGAGCCTTCCGAACATTTGGTGAATGGGACCTGGTGTAAAATCTGAGAATCAAACAACAAAAATAAATGTAGTTGCCAACATTGTCTCGAAGGTTAGTGGTAGGGAAAATTGGCTAATCTGGGGAGATGTAAAGTTTCCAACATTACTGATGTGACTTGCTAAGAAATGTCTTCTGTACTACTCTCGTGAAGTGGTAATTATAGTAGAAATAGGTATGGCCATGTTGCGACGATACCTTCTCCTTTAGTCATACAAAGAGTAGCAATATAATCGGCTGATGATCGTCAGTATACAACATTGTTGGAATACTCTTGCAGACAAATTAATCATGCAGGTGTCACCTGTGCGATCCAGGGATCAAATCTGGGACCTAAACAATGACAGCAT